ATCAGATTATGAGATTAGTAGCAGTTGTGGTGAAAAAAATTATGGAAATAACACGATAAATACTTAAAAACTCTGTAGTCTGCATTTTACCTTGGGTCTTCAGTCTGCATTTACCCTCAGTCTGCATCTTAGTCCCCGGTCTGCAGTCTGTGGTCCACAGTCCGCATTTTACACTGACCCCACCTAATTAGCAAATGCCGATGTCGGTTTCTGTCGCATTTTTCCTCATATGCGAACGTAAACAGCAATAATTGAATATGGATAGAATAGGAGCAACTACATGTACTGTACAGTACTTTGCTATTTATCGATATCATTTGAAGTAGACTGATCACCATTGTGAGTTTGTAAAGTTTGTAAAGCTGATGTTTTGAGTGACGCCGTGCTCAATACTTCAATTAATGTCAACTTCACAAACTCGCTATGTCACTCAATTGACCTTCACAGACCTGTCAAGAATCACAGTTTCGCCATGAGACTCATGATTTTTAGGGCCATCCCACGGTCTCACGATGAGGGACAAAAATCTCGCGGTAAACTGACAGATTCATGGGCCAGTGGAATACACTTTCCTTGAATATTTTCATTTCTGCCTTGTAAAATTGATTTACTGGCACCAATTCTGTAGAGATCTACATTTCTAAGGCATATTTGTCATTAACAAATCGAATGTGGTTTAGCTTGGTCTGTACTCTTATCGACAACGAATTCGAATGGGTCCGCAACAAATTTTGACCACTGTGATGACGCGCACTCGTTGTCGATAAGAGTGTAGACCACGCTAAACCACATTCGATTTGTTAAATCGTTACCAGTGCATCACACCTAGATACGTTTCGTTCACTTTGTCAAAATGGCAGAAAGCGATAAACGGTCATCGGACGATGAGAATAAGAGTCGTTTCTGTTCAATCACAGAAAGAAATACAAACAGGAGCTGCAGAAATGGGAAGGTTCGGATCATATTCGTATCCTAGTTTTAATTTTTTCTGATGTGGTCAACAAATCTCCAGGTGTTTTTACCTTGATCTGCAGGTTTTTGGTCTTTTGGGGTTGAGAGGTCTGCCTTCATCAACTGCAAGTTGAAAAAATGGCTCATTGTTCCACTTTTTTGTGGATGGAGCCTTACAGTTTTTTTTAGAGCTAATGGCTCTGTCGATTTCAAGCCCGCTCATCCCCCCTCCCCGGGCATTTGATTTTGTGTTTTCAGAAGGTGGCAAATGCCCCACCATGGGGCAGCTGACGCATGCAAAATCCCCATGGTGGGGCTGTGAGAAAAGTCCAAATGCCCCACCCTTGAGATAGTGTCAAAAAGATATTTTATGCAATATTGCAGTGTACTTGTGAGCGCTATTATAACGTGAAAAAAGCAACTTCTATTTCATTGGTAAATACATGTAGCTTGTTGAAATTTGATTATGACTGTTATTCATGTACTCAATTTCTTTTTTGGTGAGCTGTATTGAAATTGATTCAAAGATGGTCAAAAGTAATGCACACCGGTCGCGAAGACAACGACAAACTTACAACTGAAGATGTTCCTAGGGAAAACTCATTGTCTGAGAGAAGGCTTATCCCTTCAAACAAAAACATGATCCATTTTTATAAAAATGTCAATTTTTTAAACTTACCTTTGAAGGTTCCTGTTAAACCGTCTAGACCCTTTTATGTTAACCAACGACCCACACCATACTCGCTTCTCTCCTTGATTCGTTCGCATGTCGAAGACCAACAAGAATTCTTGGAGGTGGTGATGGGGCATGAGCTAGTTTTCAACGGGTTAAGTGTCAGAAAAAGAATTAATATCTAGGACGTTCTATTGATGTTTAATATTTTGTAGGCTTTCGTTTTTAAAAAGTACCCATTTATATATAATTCTTTGTATTGACTAAATTGTCAAATGCCCCACCCATGGGCAGCCCTTTGGGAGCAAATGCCCCTTGGAGGGGACCTTCAACCTGTCAAATGTCCGTCAAAAGCCCGTGAGGGGGATGAGCAGACATTGAATCGACAAAACCACAATATTTTAACCATAAAACACTTGTTTGTTTGTTTCTTTAATATAATGTTGCTGTGCATCTGTTTATTAATAGACCACATGCAGATGAATTTAAAATGTGGTAAGAACATCAGTAACAGTGACACTCGCCTAATGGCTTGTGTGCCAGTTTTTTTGTTCTTACCACATTTTGACTTCATCTGTGATCTATTACTGAACAGATGTACAGCAACATGGAATCTATTTGTTAAATGGAATCCACACTGCAGATCTTGCCGCTCTTCACCAGGGGAATTGTTACCCACCAGTGAGACAGAGGGAATACTGCAAGTCAGTCTCTGGGTTATGTTTTTGCTGAAATGCAAATAATTGTAGATCCCTTTTATCATGATAACCATATGTATCAGAATAATAATTTGTCGTAAATTCTATTGGTCATATGAAGATCAAACCACTGGGAGAATTAAGTATGTTTGTGGTTTGCTCAGCTTGTATGTAATTAATTTTCTTTCTTGACACATTAATATGCCACAAATAATATAATAACTCGTACTAATGTCAACTTCTTTAACATAGATACTGTATATCTACACTTTATAATCCATCAAATGTTTTTGCTCGCACGCGATCGGTTTAAACACGTCATGTGACCGAATATTCCCCGGCTAAAACTGGGGAATATCCGAGAATATTCCCCAATTTTCAAAACTGCACGAGTCGCGAAAAGATTTGAAGGATAATAAACACAATAGCCTCCATTTGGCGCGAAAATATGCTCAGATATTTGTCCTTGGACATTATCCGTTCCTCAAAGCTCGCCGTTTTCCTCGAGCTACGCTCTCGGAAAACAGTTCGCTTCTCGGAACGGATTATAGGGGTGGCAAATGGTCCTTTAAAAACCCATGGTCTCGCAAAATTTTCGCCAAATTTCACGCGTCTCGTAGTCTCGTTTTTTAGCGGTTATGTGCGTCTCGCAGTCTCCATTTTTCTCACAAAGCTGTCTCTCAGTCTCGATTTTTTTTCAAGGCTAAGAAAGTCGTTCAGTACCGATTTGTTTATTTTTTTAATAAAGTTAAATGACATCACAACATCTTAGAACCTGAACGTCTTGAGTTCGCATTTAAAACACTTTGAAGTCTTGGTCTCGCAATTGAAGAAACCAAAATGTCTCGGGCTCGCAAAGAAAAAACGCTGATCTCGTCGTCTCGTTAAGTCTCGCATTTACCGTTCGCCACCCCTGATAATGTCCGCGGACAAATCCCAACATATTTTCGCGCCAAATGGAGGCTATTGTTTATGTATATTTTAAACAAATTTATGTCTGTTTCTCATAAGAAAAAATAATTATTTTTGAGTATTTATTGACTTCATTCTCTGCTGATCCTGCTGTATCTTAAGTTTTTCTTTGAATCCTCTCATTGCAGTATTATTTTGGTGACAAGAATCTTTATAGGAACAAATATCTAAGACGAAAACCAGATGAAGATGAGGGGAATGTCTGTAAAGTGTTTGCATGATCAAGCTCTCTCTGTTCTAGTTATGGTTTTCATCTTGTTTTTTAGGGCCTATGAGTATGTACATGTACCATGTTACCGTAATGGTTTGATTAAGGGCAGTCTTTCAAACAAGTGCCCCCTTTCTGAATTTACGAAACAGATAATCACATTCTTATTACTTCAAGGACAGAGGCCTTGAAAACTATAGAACGGCATGCAAAATAGTATCTACACAAAAGTTATATACACAAAGTATTAAGCAACTTTAATTGAAACTCAAACTTTCTTTATTAAAAATTTCACACCAAGATTATACAAGTATTTCAAGCAGCTAGAAACTTTTTATTTGTTTCTATAAGGAGGTAAAACCTTTTTTCCTTACGTTCTATTCTTAGTACAACAATAGACAGAAAATTATTATGTAAGCAAGACTAACTGTAATTAGCATAACCTCTGATCGACTATTACCATAACCTCTGATCGACTATCAGGTAAACACGCAATGTGATTGCCTACACATGGACTGCCAAAAGATCGATAGATGGCACTGAGAGCTGGTCAATCTTAGAAAATGGCTATAATAACTTCGTGTTTTTGTAGAGTTTTTGTAGTAAAGATTGTTTTTTGTGTGATAGATCGGTGAGTAGGTTATGCTAAAACAGTTAGCTCGCTTTTGGTTTCTATTGACTTCGATATTGAGTTGGCTTAGAGCTTCGTCTCTCGCTGACCATCAGGCGATTGAAACCTCAAACTCAAAATATAATAAAACTAATTTTACACAATTTAAATTATCCTCTCCAGGCTATTTTATTTCTTATACAAGATAAAATATGTTTTCATGCCCTAAAGCAGAACTTGGAGTGCATCACTGCAGTATATTCCTATGTTTTTAATTTACAATTCTATGCTGAAACTTCAATGGTACATTCACAGGTCTTGTACACCTCTATACAAACATACTACTAAAATTGGTTACACAATATCACCATGGATATATCAGCTTATTATATAATTAAGCTGAGAAATTTGGTAAATCAATCATTTGACTAATCAAGCACAACCCAGTTGCTTGTCAATCACCTAGTGAAAATTATAGCAAAATCAAACATTGAATGTTGTGATGCCTTATATATACGTTTGAAAGACAAAATATTACAAAATATTAAAGGCGGAATATTGAACATTGTATACTAGATCAAAATCACAACTTGGAATATGGAACATTTTGCAATAATGGATACTTGTCCAAAATATAGTTTGAACTCGCGAATATTTTCGTCCATCTGCACAGCAATGTAAAATTTACAAAGAAAATCACTTTTTTCTACATTGGGATTACGCACATAGTAATATTTTGTCCTTCTGTGATTGAATTTCTTTTCTTCATCATCAGCTAAGCCTAATGCTTTAACAACAAAATAATAACACTTATCATAAGTTGGAGGAGACATCGTTTCACTCAAATACCTGCATACGATGGTTATCGAAGTCAGACACAACAATTCGGCCACTACTTAGAACTGCCACAGACCTTGGAGATTGGAATTCTCCTAAATTACTGCCCTTTGTTCCAAACTTGCCAACAAACTTTCCATTTAGTTGAAATACTTGTATTCTATGATTACCTTAATCACAGACCATCAGGTGTCCTGACTTGTTCACTGTCAAACATTTGGGATTATTAAACTCCCCGTCCCCTCCGCCCTGCTTTCCAAACTTGTACTTAAAGTTGCCATTCCTGTCGTAAACTTTCAGACAATGTTCACTGTAGTCTGACACTATGAGATATCTATCACGCTGAACACAGTGGATAGGATGACTAAAAACGCCCTGCCCACCTATCTTCCTTAGAAATTTGCCATCAGGAGAAAAGATCTTAATCAGTTTGTTACCCGTATCAGCAACAATGATATTTCCATCACTACCTACAGATAAACCACAAGGATCAGAGAGCTGACTATCAAGGCTTCCCTCCCCGCCAGACGAACTTACGTACTCACCCTCCCCACTGAAAATCTGGATCCTAGCATTAACATAGTCAACCACGAAAATATTTTCAGAATATGCTATTCCCGCTGGAAAGTTAAATTCCCCCTTTTTGTTACCTTTCCGACCAAAGGATCTTAAGTAATTTCCATAACAACTGAAGATTTGAACTCTGTGGTTCTCACAGTCAGTTACAGCTATCTCGTCCCTGGCATTTACTGCCACCCCCCAGGGATACTGAAACATTCCGACAAACGAACCTTCTTTTCCAAAAGATAATGCAGGTCT